AAAAAGACAATGGAACGGGACTTTGACCAATTTTGCCAGCCGGAGCTTTTGCACAATGGTCGCAAGCTCTCGATCGCAGAGTACATACCTCTGATCAGCGAGAGCCAAGATGCGATTGAGGGCCTCGAATTCTGTGCCTACCCCGTCATCGCGGTTGAAGAGACGCAGCAGATCGCGGCGAGAATCGAGTTCACGGGGACCCCCGTCAAGGAATGGGGAGGCGCGAAGCCTAATGGCGAAGGCGTCTTCTTCGAGGAGTTTGTCATTTATCAGCTCGAGGATGGGAAGATTTCGAGTGTATGGTCGGTCGTGGACTTGGAAGCTTATCGAAAATGCATGGGTCCTGTACTCACGTACGATGAGCACTTGCGCGCACCTCGTGAGAGGATTCCTGAAGTGGACATAGACAAAATTTGGGGTACATAACACCTGTTCTTGCCGAATCTGAGCATAACATATCGTTTATGACGCATTGGTGCCGGAGAAAACAGCCTCTTATTGTACTAGCCATTGAACACAAACTCGCGTTTTGATAACGATTGGCTTCACTTCGCTATGGTACTTCATGGATAAGCTTTCCGCAACCGGCTTCCCTTAGTTTACATGATGATACCTATTGTCGGCTGTGCTTGATGAGGGGCTTAAATCAATGTCCACTGGGACTGAGCTTGGACGTATCCTGTTAGCTGACCTAATGCAGTTCTCCATGTTCCTGCGCAAGCGGATGATGCTAGCAAAGCCGTGTCTCTGGCTTCGCCCAAGGATGCTAATTAAGGTAAAGTACTTTACTATTAGCTAGCACCCGGTCTTATCATATGCGAAAGAGAGTTTAAGGCCGAGTCGAAAATGGAGAAGGAAGCAGAGTTGACCAAAGATGCCAGACAAGCGAATGTTCGCGCAATGAGATCGAAAGAGTGAAACCCTTACCTGCCCTTTCCAAACGCGGAGGCTCGTGGCAAGTGAAAAGAGACGGCAGATGAGCTACCAGGCGAATGCCCAGAGATGATGCTACATCTTGCATCGAAGCGGTCCAACCCAATCTCAAGAGCCCAGGCTTTACTGCGGGGTGTTGGCATACGGTATGTAAGGCTAAGGTAATGGGAAGGACTTGATGACTGTTGAACTGTTGATGACTTGCTGCCCCACCGGCATCAGGAATTCACAAAACCCGAATACACTATGATCAAGTCATGATGCGTGCCATGCTCTCATCTAGCGCCAGGGACAATGTGCTCGCGCACATGGGGCAGACACACTCTCTTTGGCGGTAAGAAAGAGAGCCCCGATATTGTTGTTGATGCGCTCGAATGAGAGGACGCCATCGCCACGCTCGGAAACCGGTAGATGACGAGGGTGGATCCGGGGGATATCCCAGACCAGGCCGCGGACCGCTCCCTCTTTCTCCAACTTCCCCTCATTCTTTTCATCTCAAGAAGTCAAAAGTTCTGCCCTTGTCACCATGTCCTCCTCCTTGTCCTCCAGGTATTTCCCCACAGGAGCGGAGGAGGGGAAGCTTGCAAGGGGGGTTAAATAACGTTGTCCTACTTTCGCGTTCGCGCGCGAAGCTTCAGACATCAACCGGTGCGCGGCCGATGTAACGGTACTCTTCACAACTTGTGCGCAAACACCCAATCCAAGCTGCTGTTACTTCTGTTCCGGACCATAGACCCTTGCTCTTTCAGTGCTCGCAGATGAAGACGCGAAATATCAACCGAGCTGAAGCAAAGAAGCCCCCCCTGGTATCCGTAGAGTCCGCGGGGCGAAATCTTGCCAAGACTGCTCGTCCTCGGTCCTGAAGCCACCGACAAGCGACGCTCACGATGTGGGTTCTGCCGTCTGGGCGAAGAGACGCTCACGTCAGGTACCACCTTATCTGAGCAGGATGCGGGGTGATCAGGCACATCAGGAACACCGGTTCATTGCGAGGCGATCTTTTCCAAAGGCCCTGTCCATCCGGGCGAAATGAGCACATGTTCTTCCTCCACCCGGTTCGCATGCGATGCTACGCAAGTATGGTAACATTCTCCCCGGTCCATTGAGTTCCTTGGGGATCAGCTCATCGTGTAGCCGTGGAGCTTGGGGTTCCTTATAAAGAGGATGCCCCTTCGTAGCCGACTTGATGGTTCCTTCTGTTTGACACCCTCGCGTCATTGCAACCTCAATCTCAAGCAATAGGGAAGCAAACATGGTGTCGCTCAAGTCGGCCATTCTGGCCGCTACTTACGCCGTTTCGGCTGCTGCTGTCGATGTCTCCATCAAGGCATCCGGTGGCAATGCCACCAGTGGCCACCAGTACGGATTCCTCCATGAGGTTTGTGAATCAATGCCGTCTCTTGCCCGGAGGTCTTCCAACTAACATCTGCAATCTCAAGGACATCAACAACTCTGGTGATGGTGGCATCTATGCCGAGCTGATCCGCAACCGAGCCTTCCAATTCAGCCCCAGATTCCCCGTCTCCCTCGACGCCTGGCACGCCATCAACGGCGCCAAGCTCACCCTCAAGAACCTCACCGAGCCCCTCTCTGCCGCCCTCCCCGTCTCCGTCAACGTCGCTGGGGGCAACGGCTCCGGCGCTATCGGCCTCGAGAACGATGGCTACTGGGGCATGGACGTCAAGGTACAGAAGTACACTGGCTCTTTTTGGGTCAAGGGCTCGTATGACGGTGTCTTTACTGCTAGCCTCAAATCCGCTCTCAACGAAGACGTGTTTGGCTCTGTCGAGATTGAGTCCAAGGCATCGGCCGACGAGTGGGTTGAGCACGAGGTTGAGCTCACTCCTGAGAAGGATGCTCCCAACAGCAACAACACGTTTGCCATTACCTATGATCCTGCGGTATGAAACTCTTACATATCTCCAAGCTGAGCCACATATACTGACGACTCGCTTTTAGGGCGCTGCCGACGGCTCGTTGGACTTCAACTTGATCAGCCTCTTCCCTCCCACCTACAAGGGCCGTAAGAACGGTCTTCGTGTTGATATCGCCGAGGCTCTGGCTGGACTACACCCCGTAAGAATCTTGCCCAATCCTATCAAATTACAACAAGAACACGCGTCTGACTGGTAGACAGAGCTTGCTCCGCTTCCCCGGTGGCAACATGCTGGAGGGCTTGAATAACGGCACCTACTGGGACTGGAAGGACACTCTCGGCCCCCTTAAGAACCGCCCCGGTTTCCAGGGCGTCTGGGGCTACCAGCAAACCCACGGCCTCGGTCTCGTCGAGTACCTCGAGTGGGCATTGGACATGGGTCTGGACGTTGTCATTGGCGTTTGGGCCGGCCTCGCCCTCAATGGCGATGTGACCGCAAAGGAAGACCTCCAGCCCTTCATTGACGACGCCCTCGACCAGATCGAGTTCATCCGCGGACCCGTCGACTCCAAGTGGGGTGCCCGCCGTGCCGAGCTCGGCCACCCGGAGCCTTTCACGCTCGAGTACGTCGAGATTGGCAATGAGGACTGGCTCGCCGGGTACCCTGGCGGCTGGACCTCGTACAAGGAGTACCGCTTCCCCATGTTCATGGAGGCTATCAAGGCCAAGTATCCCGACATCACCGTCATCTCCTCCGGCGCCACCACCGACGGTGATGGCTTCGAGATCCCCGCTCCCGGCATCGGTGATTACCACCCTTACCGTACCCCCGACGCTCTTGTCGACGAATTTGACCGTTTCGATAACGACATTGGCCACATTGTCGGCGAGGTCGCTGCCACGCACCCCAACGGCGGCACCGGCTGGGACGGCGACCTAATGCCCTTCCCCTGGTGGATCGGCACCGTCGGCGAGGCCGTCTCCCTCATCGGCTACGAGCGCAACGCCGACCGCATCCCGGGAACTTTCTACGCCCCCGTCCTCCGCAACATGAACCGCTGGCAATGGGCCGTTACCATTGTCCAGTTCGCCGCTGACTCGGCGCTGACGACCCGCTCCACCAGCTGGTTCGTCTGGGAACTCTTCGCCGCGCACCCGCTGTCGCACACTCTGCCCACCGTCGGCGAGTTCGGCCCTGCATACTGGGTTGCTGGCAAGAACGAGGCCAAGGGCAGCTTAATCTGGAAGGGTGCCGTGTATAATACCACCGACAGCGCGGACGTTGACATCAACCTCGCGTTTGAGGGCGTCACTGCTGGTACTACTGCCTCCTTGACTGTTCTGACCAACCCCAGCGGCGACCCGTTTGCGCACAACGATCCCTTGAACGGTGGCGAGACTACTGTCGCTAGCAACACTACCACCGTTGTTGCTAACGCCGATGGTGTTTTTACCTTCAGCCTGCCTGAGCTTAGCGTTGCTGTTCTTGATACTGAGGGCTCCAAGGGTAACCAGACTGCCCGTGCTATCCGACGCTTCCACGCATAAAGGGTGATAAAGATAGAATAGCGGAACCTGCCCTCTAATGCACTCTTCTAAATTTGGATAGGAAATCGTGAAACAAAACAGGACTTTGGTCATCTACATCTACTGCATTGCATTTCTTGAGTGTGTCTCAGCGCTGGGCAGGCGGGTGAAGGCCAAAATGAACGACTTTGAGGCAGGGACCCAACCCTTGATGTGTCCAGCGCTGGAATCGTGTGCAAGCAAAGTATGTCGAGAGATAGGCCATTGAAGCAGCCTTCCACAATCTCCTCTCACCTGGAGGGCAGTGAAGATGCGTGGGCGATCGCCTCCCTTACTTACAATGAGGCAGTGTAATTGGCCTCGGAGCTTGACACGTCATGCAGGCTTACCAGTCAGCCACTGTCAGATTCATGCAGCCAAAGAACCGCTGTGACGAATATGAGATAATTTGGCCACAACAGAGCCGATACGCAGCCATGTCCGAGTGGATGGGCATCCTTAGTCCGCCTCATCCTTTTCAGTTGGATGATCAGGCTCCGAGGCTGACTGTATGTTAAGAGTGGCTTTCTCCCATGAAACCGAAACAACACGAAGCTGACTTTCATCTTTCTCTATCAAGGACCATAGTTGACCAACTCTCAACTCCACTCCATCACCGCTCATCATGTCGAGGTGGCACGAGCGCGGGTGCACCCAGCCTGATGTCGTGGTCGCCAGCGGCCTTCCATGCTGTCGATTTTGCTACGGAGTAGCATCGCTTGATGACGTCCAGTTCGATACTTCTCTCAGAATAAGACAAGCTCCCGTCCTCGAGGACAACTCTACATACAACCTTCGATGGCCTGCATGCGTCGATTATGTCGACGCTCGACCAGAAGTCCCCCCCGATGCGTCTACTAGCTCAAGCTCCGGCTCTACTTTTCCATTTGGAGGAACGCAAAGCTCTCAACGAACGAATCATCTACTCAACAGGCCAGGCGCACCTTCGAAAGAGTCCGCGACGACAGAGGGGCCACAGACGAAGCGAAGAAAACTCTCAATCGCAGACGAGTCGTATCGCCCATCAAGATGCTACCCGATTCTATGGGGAAGCCAAGAAATACGAATGTTGGAACTGGATTCGGGGGATAATGATAGTCTTCTCCACGGAAGCTTTCAGAACGTGGAATTGGATTCCAAACGGGCAAGATACGAAGCCCTATCATATACCTGGGCCGACTCTTCCGGAGACTCTACAAGATGCAGACCAATGTTCATTGGCTCGTACTGGGACATTATCCCTATTACTCGGAACTGTGAAAATGCCCTTCGTAGCATTCGACTTGTTGGGGAAAGCTTTCGTTCTATTTGGGTCGATTCTCTTTGCATCAACCAGGATGACACCGAGGAAAGGAATGCACAAGTCGCTCTTATGCCACAGATATACGCTGCCGCCATCGGGGTCTTGGCATACCTTGGCCCAGCAGCTGATGACAGCGAAAGAGCCCTCAGCGCTATTTTCAACTCAATGTCTCATCGCAACTGTGGTCATAATGGAAAGCAAAGTCAAGTCTGCGCAGATTGCTGGATGCCTATTAAAAAGCTTCTCAGCCGACCGTACTTTCGGAGGTTGTGGGTGGTCCAGGAAGTTGTTCTAAGCAAAACGTTGACACTCCACTGTGGTTCAAAGTCAACTCCATGGCCTTTTTCGGCGATGTTAACTCCTCTTATCAATAATTCATGGATTACCACGCGGGATAAAGCGACAGTTCGTCCTCTACAAAATCTTCTCAGCCTTATGGTTGACACATCGGAATGTTTGTGCAAGGATCCACGAGACAAGGTGTTTGCTCTGCTGGGCTTAGCCTCACGATGGTATCCGTGGCCAGTCTTTCCCGACTACCGGCTTACTGTAGAGGAAGTCAGCATTGGTATTGCGGCCTATTTGACACAGAAATGCGGTCTTGGCATGGCTGTCCTTCTCTTTGCAGGTGCGAACCGACCTCGACGAAGCACTCTGCCATCTTGGGTTCCAGACATACAAGTGCCATTCTGTTTACAGGAAATCGGCGTCAACCTTTACGAACGGTTCATAAATTCCGGAAAATTCGAGGCAAATGAGTATTCGTTGTCCAATAACGTCAATTTCGATATGGGATCTCTCTCATTGCGACCGCTCTCTCCCTGCGATATTCGCATCATTTCGCGAAGTGGATATCTAGAGGTCACAGCAATCAGGGTATGCAATCTTCGCGGATTTTTTACTGATGACGGTCGATATCGGCAGTCATTTGTTCGGCCTGGGCACGAGGACGGTCCGGAAATGAAAGCTACATTGATCCTACCTATTCCGTCGCGTAAGTACAGAGGTACCAATCTGATTAACATCTCCCACCACATACGACAAGATGACAGTCTTGTCTGGCTTCAGAGCATCAACGGATACGCACTACTTAGGTCGACGTGTGCCTCTTCAACTTATAATCTTCTATGCGCCTGTGATCTACTATTCGAGAATCTTGACACTGGTAAAGTGGCGAAAAACATGAGCTTCGAGCTGTTCAGCTTAGTCGACCAAAAACGACTGGAAGAGCGAAAAGAATGTCATATCGAAACTTTCCGACTGATTGTTGGAGGGCACCATGTGCAGCGAATGTCGGAGTTGTCAGCAGAGCCTCTCTTGTTGAAGCTTGCTGCGTACGTTTCCCGCCACAAGAGCGATTCAAAGGCGAGTCTTTGGAAGATATGGAAGCAACTCGAAGTCAAGCTCAAGCCTTACCTTGAAGACGAACGGGGGATCCAGCTACTACTTTGTGGCATAACTGGGGCAGAACCCATCACCTTGGGAAGTTCGCAAGACGGTAGGCCTTTACAGGCCTTTTTATACAAAGGTTGTATGCTAAGGTCCTCGGAGTCCCTCCTAACCCTCCTATGGTCGCTACTACCCAAGAGAAGGCAATGCGTCAACAAAGCTGCCGATGCGGAAAAGGTTCCGCTTTCGGACGAAGAAATATTGAAGGGGTTTCAGGAATGGGCCGATATATCAAGCGACCTCTTATTTGCCATGTCCCATTCAATTGAACATGAGGATGAGTCCTTTTTTGGAATTCGGTCATCCGTGGAGATGCAAAAATGCTGGTTGAAAGCATTCAATAGGTTCGAACACAAGATAATGCCTCAACGGACTAATGTCATGGGAGTCATGGAGGCTATTGCTTACGTCTTAAGATTATTTCCGCCCATGGAGCCGAACCAGGAATATACAGGCCCTTCTAGTTACATCGACAAAATTCTAGACTCTCAAACAAAGGAGATCGCGTGGTCACACTTTACGAGGGACTGTCTGTGGGACTGGGAAGTGGTAGGAAGCAATTTTGAGAAAAGGTGGAAGATTTTGCAGCACTTGGGCCAGCACCAGTGGTTAGCTTCATGGCGAGATGAGCCAACTGATAAGCTCGATGGACTGGAGCGACAAATGTCGATTCGCTATCGACTGAATTCTTTTGGATTCAACCTGACTTTGCCTTCGAAGATTACGATCCAGTAAGTTCCGCTAGATTATCAAGATCATATACCGAAACATAATTGGTAAATGAAGTCCGAGTGGTCGCAATCTCTCTGCTTTCTTGATCACATCCAGCTAGGACTTTGCAGTTGTGTCGGATTGCACTGTAGGCCTATGAAACATTGAATTCCAGGTTCTTCACGGATAATGGGGCTATATTAATAGGAATCGGTTTGGTAGTGAACATGAAGATATTGATAAAAGACCTCGGAGTTCGCCAGATAGAAACACCATCGTGTCGGTTTAAGATAACTGGCTCGGCTTGCTCAAGGAGCACCGCCATCCGAAAACTTCAATTCTTGACCGGAAACACCCTTGAGCACATTTCCAATACCCGGCACTTCGCCGTTTCCTCCTTGCATAATCGCAGCATAGTTGTCAGCAATGAGCTGGATTCCGGAGTCAAACCCTTTCTCATCAAATTGACAATGGCCTCCCACGGGCTTGTTATTGGCTGTCTGAAGCTTGTTGATTGCTTCTATTTCCATTCCCTTGTCCTTGACAACCTTTTCGTACGCCTTCATGGTGGCAGAGATTGATCCTTGCAGGTGCTGAAGTTCCTTCTGGGTGCTTTGATAGTGAAGTCGAGTTTTCATGAGAGCATCGCGAGAGGACTGCGATACTTCGACACGGGGTTCCATGGCACCGCAACCAAGCATCACCCCATTCCCGGCGAAGTTACCCATATGCGCCGGCATGAAGTATCCAGAAAGCAGAAGGGATCCGCCTGAAATCCCAGAGAAGAAGACATTAGAGGAATTGAAGGCCATGTACTTTGGCAGGGTCTGGAAGACGAGATCGTTGACTGCTTGAGCGTGCGCCACGCCGTCTGTGCGATTGAACCCAGAACCCCCTCCCCAGTGGAGGTTTCTGTCCGGAGAAAGTACTGTGACACCCGCCAAATTGTTTTTTACGCCTTGGTTTGGCATTTCGAAGAAAGAAGAGCCGCTGTCACCGTGTAGCAGGACGTGAAGTCCGAGGTTGCCCTTCGCGCCTGTTGTCTTGCCGCCCCCGGGTACCTTGCTTGCTGTTGTAAATTCACCTGCTGGACCACTGATGCGGAAGCGAATTTTCAAGTTGCTAGCTCAAAAATTAGCGCTTGCTCCGCTGAAAGTGCATAGCGGGGTTGTTCTTTCCAAGCTTCACTTACTTGATTGTTTCTGTAGTATCAAGAATAATGGAACCATCCTTTGCGGGCATAATACCTTGAGGTATCTTGTTCGCTCTGTCGGCAGGAGACTCTCCCCCTGTCTGTTGTGGTAGACACTGAACACCACTGAGGATAAGGACAAGCGCTAGCGTCAGTGCGCGCTGAAAGTGGAAGATCAACTCCATCGTAACTGCTATTGATAATTCGAGTCACTCTAGGAGGCAAGCTAGATAAGACGATAGGACCTGGTTCCTGAAATTGGGAACGGGAGCCCCAAGACCATATATCCATTCATTCAGTTGCTCTACAAAACACCTTTTCCTCTCTCACGAACAGTGGTGATGGCAGTTTTACCACGAAGGTTTCCTCGCAAAGAGTTTCATCTGAACTATCGACGGATGTTTTAGGTCGGATTCGTGGCTCCCGGGGAGGGGACGAGTAAGGTGGAGAGCCAGCAAACAGATGAACAAGGTTTCGACTCGCATAGGTTCGTTCGTGATTTGTGCTCTACCCTGAAGTTAGGCATGCTGCATTGAGCCATGGGAAGCCAGTTATGTTAACAAGTAACATCCTTGATACTGCGAGGTTGCCATGAAACTGTTGCAAACACAGCTCAACAGGCGGTAGATGCCTCTACTGCATTGACAGCCCCAAGTTGTGAAGTTGTTTTTCTCATGGAGGAATCACGTTGAGTCTCAACCGTCAGTCATGGCAATCTTGATAGCGGAATGTGTGATGGATCCTGCTCAGATCTTCGCAAGGAGTAGAGCCAATTGGGGGGCAGCGGTTCGATATTCCAGGCAGAGCACCGGCGGTGGTGTCAATAAATGGAAGTTAGTGTCGAAAATTGAACATGGTCGACATATCACAGAGCCAATTTCCTGTAGGCTTGAGCCATTTGCTAGATCTCAGAGTAGTCTATTGCTGTTTCTGGCGCCTCTTCAGAAGAGTTAAAATGCTGCGATAAAGACTCCGGCCGGGATTCGACCGGCCGACGGCTCACATCCGCCCCAATGATCCAGTGCCAGTGGACCGAAGAGCCCCCACCAGATGTCCCCTCCTTCGGACGACAGCGCACCGATGCGGAGATCTGTGGTGTTGGTCTTTTCGAATAAAGATCGCAGCTTGACAACTCATACGTATTGCTGGTTTTCAATCCGGCGTTATTGTTATTTCCAAGTCCTTCAAACCAGCAAACAATACCTCCAAGATGTCGATGTCTACTGAAGATTGCGCAAAGTCCCGGGAGGGCTTCCCCCGCCCGTTCCCCAACACACCATCCAACGTCCTAGACCAATTGAAAGTGACGGGTAAAGTCATCGTGGTCACTGGTGCTGCTGATGGTATTGGCTATGCTGTTTCCGAGGCCATGGCAGAGGCCGGCGGCAATGTTGCCTTGTGGTACAATTCGTAAGAAAAGGCCTCTCTGGCATACTGCCTTGTCTTTGGAGCTATTCGATGGCTGATGACGTCACAGAAATGATGCTGCAATTCAAAAGGCACAAGATCTAGCAAGCACACACAGCGTCAAGACCTCGGCTTACAAAGTGGATGGTTAGTTTACCGGATGGTTGAATTAGTAGTAGGAATATGAAGGCTAACATCCATTCAGTGTCCGATTTCAACCAAGTTCAAGAGACTATTGCCAAGGTATTGAAAGACTTTGGCAAGATTGATGTGTTCGTTGCAAATGCTGGTGAGTGACGCAGTGCTCGCCACACGCTTTGGTTCTGACCTAGTTGTGACTAACTTCATGCAGGAATGGCCATTTCAAAGCCCATTCTGGAGCAAACCCTAGATGAATACAGGAAACAGATGTCGGTAAACGGTAAGTCGGCCAAGACATGCTACCTTAGAGAATTTCGAAGCTAACACAATCATCAGTGGACGGAATCGTGTACTGCTCCAAGTATGCTGGTGAAGTATTCAAGAGCCAAGGCTTCGGCAATCTCATCATCACTTCGAGCATGAGCGGTCACATCGTCAACGTCCCTGTTGATCAACCCGTCTACAACGCCACCAAGGCTTACGTCACGCACTTTGGAAAGTCCCTAGCCCGCGAGTGGAGAGAGTTTGCCCGTGTCAACATTGTATCCCCAGGATTTTTCGACACCAAGATGGGTGCTGGTCCAGATGCTCTGCAAGAAGCATACCGCATGGCAGCTCTGGGCAGACAAGGCCACACTAAGGAGATCAAGGGCCTATACCTGTATCTGGCGAGCGATGCTTCTACTTACATGACTGGTAGCGATGTCCTTATCGACGGCGGCTATGTCTTGCCTTGAGCGGCCACACGCCAAGAAGACGCGGAGTTCAGGGGCTACGATTAGAAGCGGTAGAGATAATAGAATGCGCTCAATATCTATGACTCTTCTCGTACCACAGAAATGCTATTGATGAGTTCATGGGTGGGCTCTATTTGAGAATTGTATGGATAATTGACCGTGAACTACAAGCTATCGACTTAGTTATTTCGACGCGCAGATACCCCTCACACCCTTCTCATTGTGCAAGTGCCCGTAGATCCTCCTCAGAGCGGTTTTATCCTATTATACTTGACCTGAACACCTTCACAGACGCGAGCTGCCGTGCACAAATTTCTTATCGAAGTCGATTCCAAGATCCTCGAGCACTCTCTTAGCTACCGGACGACCACCTCCCCAGACACCTCCGCCTGGGTGCATGAAAGGTCCGGCAAGGTACAGACCCTTGATTCCAGGCACGCGGTATTGAGCGAGGGCAGGTGTGGGTCGGTTGATTCCCATCTGGTCTGCCGCCATAGAAAGACCGGCAATGTCGCCGCGTTGGAAACTTGCGCTGTCGGACTGATGGTCCGGAGGAGCAACAACGTGATAGGAGCGAACTATGTCGGGAGTAAAGTTTTCTAGGTACTTGGAGAAGTACGAGAAGACTCTCTGCACCCAGTCATCCTTGATGCGATCCCACGCAGCCCAGCCGCCGTCAGCAGGCTCTGACTTGCACATGACAACACAGTGCAGCAGCGACTTGCCTGGCGGGCAGCGAGTCTCGTCACCTGAGCTGATACAAGAGGCTCCGATCATGATGTTCTCTGGGAGGATTCCTTGATTCATCTCGTCGTAGCTCTGGATAAGGTCTTTGAGGTTTCCTGGACAGCAAGTGTTCATGACAGCCTTGTCGGCGATTGGCCCTGCTTTAAACTTGAGCGGGCGTTCGAGAGCGGCGTGAACGACGAGAAGACTGAAATCAGAGGTGCGGGTATTCGAGGCGGCCGAAATGACTGAAGGGTCGATTCCGTCGACGAGGTGACCGAGATTGTGAGGATGAATTTGCCCGATGACGGCGTCTTTTGCCCTGAGTTCTCCAAAACGAGTTCTGACCCCGACCGCACGCCCGCCTTCGGTGATGACTTTGATGACTTCTGTGTCCAACTTGACGTCGCCGCCGTGGTCTTTGAGACAACGAATGACGGACTCTGTCCATACAGATCCAGAGCCTTCGGGGACGCAAAGGCCATATATGTCGAGAAGTCCAAATGCCAAGTAGGCCATTAAGCCCGTGCCGGTCGATTTTGGATGAGCAAGTTGAATCTCAGTTACGAATCGCAGCAACGCAACTTGTAGAACCTCGCTTTTGAAGTATCTCTGAATGATCTCCAAGGAGGAGCTGGTCGATGCCATGACAATTTCCTCGGCTGATGGACTGCTGGCAATATCCGCCGACATGTCGCGGGGAGGTTCGAACATAGAGGGTATCAAAAGCTCGGTGATTTGTCGACATTTGTCCACAAATACATTGTAGGCATCGGCATCTTCCGACGAGAACTCTCGAATGGCATCGACGGTCCTGTGACGCTCTCTGTAGATGGGTAGGACCTTGTCTTCCATGACTATGGCATAGCATGGGTCTAGCTGCTTGTAAACGAGGCCGTACCGAGACTGCAGACCAAGTTCATCATGAGTGATCATGGGGTTTGCGAGAATCATTTGATGAATGGCGCTGTGACGTTCGCTGATAAATCCTGGCTCGGCCATCTGTAGGCTGGCCACCCCACCTCCGGGGTAAGAAGCCTTTTCGAGGACAAGGACCTTCTTTCCAGCTACCGCCAGATACGCGGCTGCGGTCAAGCCATTATGGCCGGATCCCACGACAATGATATCCCATTCAGTCATGGCTGGCGAAGAGGTGAACCTTCCCACTTTGGAGAAATCGGTGGCCATGATGAAAAAGGAGGGGGAGCTATCGGCTAATGGCACTAATAGTATCCTAATATTCGACTTGTGTTGAAGTAAGGTGACAGAGGAAGAAAGTGAAGATAGAGGAGTATAGCATGAAGTATTTAGAGAGCGTATGGCATCATGAGTCGCCTTTATAGTCAGTACATTTACACCAGATTAGTCCCAGCACCCTGGAGGACCGGGGCCAATGCTTTACGTTGACACCCTAGTTGTTGCAATCTTAAGGTGCTTTACACATTTGTCCACCAATTTTGACATACGAATACCTCGTATAGGACTAAGGAGCGCTTGGTCAATCTGTACCTGAGTTGTCTTTCAGTACAGGTGGCGTAGAGCCAATGGACGACCTTTTCCTTACTACCTAGTGATATGAGGGTCGACGCTTCGATAGGTGTGACCAGGGTGCATCCTCTACGGATGGGCGACTGCAACACGAATCGCTGGTATGAGCCTCTGTTGCTACACCGCAAATCGGCGACGGACAGTTCATAGAAGCCGATCTTTTTATTCGGCCAAATCGTGATCTGACACGCCGGTAGTTGACTCGGGCCGTCTCGTGCATCCGCGTTAGATGCCGCCCCCACAAACTCTGTCCCCGCGATTCTCTATTCCGAGAGGGGTATATAGAGCTATGAAAGTCCCCCGCAGCCTCCGAAAAACACTCGAGCTCTTTGTGGTAACTACCCCACAACCTCCGACGACACCAGCCTACCTCAGCAACCACCCGTGGCAACTCCATAACAAGTCGGAGACTCAGAGTGGTAACAGAATACGTCTACGTTCTACTTTTCCTACTTCCGATGGGGTCGAAGGGAGACCATGGCTCTGAAATGTGACATCTGTCAAGCCGAGTTCCGCCGTACGGAGCATCTCAACCGCCACTTTCTTCGTCATCTCGGCGTGCGTCCTTTTGCGTGCCCGACGTGCACCGCTAGCTTTGCCCGAAGGTAAGATGTTCTGAGCAACACGAGTCTCGCATGTCAAAGGTTGATAGGTGTACAATCGCCCCGTTGAGGAGGCCCTACCCGAATCAAGTGGCTGATCTTCAACCCCGGCAGAGACTCTCTTCAGCGTCACATGCAGAGTCATGTAGACGTTGACTCTCCACCCACAGGCTCCGAAACTCCGAGGAAAACCCGCCGGCATTGCGTTCCTAAAGCTTGCCAGCATTGTGCGCGCTCTAAACAGCGTTGTGATGGTGCCAATCCTTGCGCCAGATGTGAATCCAGGAATCGCTCTTGCCTTTATGCAAATGACGACCGCCGTAACCCTGATCCTTCCCAGGACTTTCGGGCACCAGTATCTGAGACCGGGGGAATTTTTGATGGGCTCAGTTCATCGGGTTTTCCTGGTCAGATTGCAACAACCATCAGTAACGAAGTTGTAAGTGACTACCACCTTGTAGTTTCCCTCATGAAACCCCCTTTATGGATAAGGAGAACGGTAATCTGCGGCTGGACTTACGCAAGCTTGTAGTTGCCAGAGTCTCAGGTGGAAAACTCGCAAGAAGAGCCACCTCAGGAACCAGGCCCAGATGCCAGAGACAATTTCCAAGCTGCTCTCTGGAACCAAGATGGGCTCCAATTGGAGCTGGATCCGCTATTTCGCACACCAAGCCAGTGGTGCTTTCCATTTTCGACAGCTAATGCATGGCTGAGCTGGGATGAATTCCTGAACAATGAGTTGGCGACACAGGAAAATACCACGGCCGCCCCTATGGCTGATGAAGATGGCTTGCGGACTCAGCTTATCTCGGCACATGCATCTCATGAAAGACGTGAAGAAGCCCGAGGTTGTTCTGTTCATGCAGAAGTAGATGGCGCAGTGTCAGAAACAGCTGTACAAGAACCTACACCAACTTCTCTCTTATCAGAAGATACCCCAAGGGCGATTTTTACCAATTACTCTCAACTTTCGTCTACTTTCGCGAATGCTTTTCGGCGTTCATCGGTTTTCAGTCGAGATTACGACGACTCCACAGAGATTGAAGAGAACCAAACCCGTCGAAAAAAGCACTTCGTTACCCATGGCCTCGAAAATCTCGGTCGAGTTGCTGGTTCTTCTTTCCATCCTGAAGGTGTTGATGGAAATGAGGAGGACTGGGATCTCGAAGCCTACGACCATGTTCCGAGCTTAAGCCCGCAAGCTTACTCGATTCTCCAAACACAGTTTGAAAAGCTGAATGCGGACACAGACTACTGCAAAGCATTCACGGATAAGTCATTTCCGTCTCGAGAGGCCATTGACGTATACATCCAATCTCATTTCGAGCACTACCACCCTATCTGGCCTTTGCTCCATCAAAGAACTTTCGACCCAGAGCGTGTTCATTGGATACTCCTTCTCGCCGTTGCGGCGACAGGGTGCGGGTTTTCGAAATTTGGCACATTAATTGATGTCTTCCTCTTGCAAGAGTTCCTGCGGCGCTCGATCAACCTTTGTGTAAGTTCAGGTCGAAGCCTGTGGGTGTATAGAAGGCAATTCATACTAATAACCTGTACAGTTGGACCTTGATCCTGAGCCGGATGCGGCTTCAGAGTTGTGCTTGACACAAGCTGTACTACTGAGTCAGATAGGTTTGATGTTTTCTGGAAGCATGTCTTTCGCCGAGCACGCCCAAAGAAACATGTCTTTACTCGCGACACTTTGCCGACGAGCAGGCTACTTCAGTGGATCTCAGTCACTCTCTGAAGATATTGCATCCCTGCCAGCCAATTGGAAAAGATGGATTTGCGCGGAAAGCAAAAGAAGACTCGTACATCTCTCATGGGTAATTTTCCAAATCCCATTTCCATCCTGTAACCGCTCAAAGGCTGACGCCGCAATTAATCTCAAGCTATTGGACGGTCAGCTGGGCTTGTTCTTTGACTTGCCTCCGACTATACCTACGGATCTCCTACTACTTCCACTGCCGTCTGACGAAGGACTTTGGGCATCGGATTCTGCAGAAATATGGGCAGATCAAGCCTCCAGATCACCAAGTGAGCAATGCCCCGTACGCCGCAGGTATTGAACAAGACCACTAACCGGTAAGACTTAGCCAATGACAGCCTTCTTCGAGAACAACTTGTACACTTTTGGCGTGACGAGAAGGTAAAGGAAGGCTTGAGTAGCTTGAATAGGCTCTTCCTTACTTTTGCCGTGTATCGAGACTCCGCGAACAATCAAGACGCAATTCACTACCTTGAAATTTTGCGTGGCGACGAAGACATAAAGCCGCCGACCGGCAAAATTCAGAGGATCACACTTCAGCACAACCACGCTTTCAGCCTCCTTCTCCATATGCCTTTACGGGTACTCACTGCATTTTCAGGCTGGGGCGTTAGCCCTCAAGTTAGAGAAGCTGCAGACGGGAGACTTTCTCTATGGCTCCGCCAGAATAAGGGAAAGGCGCGTGTGATTATCTATCATGCCGCCAAATTGTTCTCGTATATTCGGAATCATCCCACTTGTGGACATCATGAGAATAATGCCTTGCTGTACGCCACACTCTCCATGTGGATTCACACTCTTTTCAACAGGCATCAGACGAGCTCTCTCAGAACTCATCGTCTTGATAAACCAAATCATCAAGAGGCCTTGGTTCAATGGCTATCAGGGGACTCTGACTTCCGACTATACGTGGCGGGCATTGGAGATTTAAATGATGAACGTGCATCCGATCGTTTGGTTCAAGAGAGTGTGCGGATTTTGACTCGGAAGTCGGGCTGGTCTTTGGGTCTGGCTGTAAGTATGGTCATGAGGGCGCAGTGGAGGTCGAATCGTGGAATACGATGATAATCTCTCTTGTTTGGGGTCTCCATTTGCTACCCTATTGTCGAAGAATCTTTGTCGCTATCAGGGACCTCCCGTATTACCATGCAATTGGATTGAAGGTGTAATACCATTCAAAGACAATCAAATATCACCGATTCAAATTCTGAAGTCAGTTCGTAGATCACTCATGTTACAGTTCCCGCGGTGCCTTGAGGTATTTACAATAAAGCTAAAACTCCAAATCCTTCTTGACCACGATATTCTCATCTCCGATCACCGCAAAAGACTTCTCTGCGTCAAAAGACTTTGGCAACTTCTTGAAAAGAGTTTCAAGCTTGTTCTTCTCGCTTAGGAATTTTGCCGCGGAGGCTCGGTCTGGGAACCAGTACTGCTCGAAAGCCGCCATCGTGTGCCAGTCGGAAGTGGCAAAAGGCGTTCCGGCGAAGAAACTGGTAGTATCCTCGGGGGTTACTTCCCGGTTGAGGACATATCTCATCAAAGATGTACCGGCTCCGAGTTCTGTGATGGACGCTGCTCGACTAGTAAGGTCGTTTTCGATGTAGGTTGCGTCTTGAGACTTTGCTAGGAAGATCAGCAGCAATGCTGCTTTGATTTTACGCTTCTCAAAGAGGATGGGGTCAAACAGACTCTCCGCAAAACTTTGACTGAGGATGCCTGTCTGTGCTGAAATGTCTGCGAATTCGTGTTTACCAGCAGAAGCTTTGTACTCGGGAGCTTGGAATGAGCCCCAGAGACCTTTCAATGACGTCCAACCTAGGGTCGTCACCGCGTCCCAAGGCTCCAGACCCCCGTTCGGAACGCCTGGAATACTGGAATGAGGGAGTGCAACAGCCTGAGTGTAGTTCCGGAGGATGGGAACCACGTCGGAGATATGCTTCGTCATTGCAGCATGGACGCTTGTGTATTCCTCAAGAAACTTGTCTTCCGCCCAACCGGGGATCCGTCTACAGGCAATGGTCATCTTGACGAGGGGCCTCTTTTGGCTATACGCTTCCTTGACCGGTGGTATAACGGGCAACAACAGATGCGAGTCGTATCTCCCGCCAAAATGGATGACATGGCGTCCTTTGTTAATTGTGGAATTATGCCTGGGGATAGGAGCACCTGGCGGGTACTTGCCGTAGTCGTGTCCAGAGACTACGAGGCTAAGTCGCTCTCCCGCCCGGAATCGACAGCTCGTGGGCTGTATCTCAATCTCCACAGGCACCACATCTCCGGCTTTGAGAGGCTCCAGATCTCTTCGATGGAGATGAATTGGTTTCCAAGGGGTCGAGGCTGTCTCATCCAACTCGCGTCGAGAGGCTCGAAGCCACCCGAAACCAATGGGGCCGGTATCGACAACTGTGATCCATGGGAAGTACACATCATTTCCATCTTTATCCTTTTTTCGCAGAGTTATGAAAAGATCCAGGTTGTCGCCACCATCAGTCACTTCAACCCAGATTTTGAGCTTGGAATGGCCTGCAAACTCAAGGGAGTTTCGAAGAGGAAGCTCGAAGGCAACTTCACCCTCGCTCGCATCGTATGATGTTTGGCTCTCCGCGCGCTGAGCAACCTTGCTCAAGCCAAAGCTTGGGGTCAGGAAGTACTGCGTATATTGGGTTTCTGGAATTGGGAATGCGTCACTGTATCGCCACTCCCCAGTGTAGTAGCGTTCCCTCATGGTGTAACGAACTTTGGGCCAGTACTGAATTTCTGTCGATAGCCCGAGCAGATAATGATCGAGGAAAGCCTTCTGGCGGGCCAACGACTCTTCCGTAACCGACCACTCCCATCTATCATTCATCACACAAAGGTTAGAGACGCTACTTTTGGCGGCGATAGTGGAGAAAGACTGACTTTTGATATTGATGGATCTCAAGATACTTGGCCTGAGAAGCGATTTTCTCCCAAGCGTTGAGTGTCCCACGTGTGTGTATAGCATGATCTCCCCACCCGCAAATGATATATGCCGGGGCTGTGATTTGAGAGAGAGCTGGAATCTTGCTTTGCCAGTACTCATCGAAGTATGGGTGCGTCTTGGCCCCATCCGTCGTATCCTCGACGTAATTCTTTCCCCAGTTGAAGAAGTACGGATAGCTTCAACCATTTCTAGTCAGCTCCACTTCATGAAGGATCTAGTTCAAGAATGTTCTAAAAGAGGGAGAAGACTCACACGGCACTGAACTGGGTTTCGGGAATTCCGCCTTTCAAAGCCATTTCGCGATACATGTCAGTCATGCCGTCAATTGGAATGATTGCCTTTCATCATTTGGTGGTTAGCAATTCAGATTGATCCGAAGCAGGGATAGGAACACATACCGCAAGGGATGGAGGTTGTTCAGCTGCTACGAGCCAAAGCACCATTGCATAGCCACTGGCTCCATACAAGGCAACCTTGCCATTTGACCAACTCTGCTTTGCAAGCCATTCGACAAGATCGTATCCTGCGGGGATATTTCAGCTTAAAAATGGCTCATCCTCCAATGATAATGTTAGAAGATATCAAGACAGGCACTTACCATCGATTCCGACATCTCGAGAGTAGTAACTCTTGTCGCCATCCGACTGAAAACAACCCCTGGCATCTATGCTGGCAACAATGTACCCGTGACGACACCACCATCCCGGATCCGCCGCTTCAAACTCGTAGTCTTTTGTGATGCGAGCTTTGTCGAAGCCTGCACTTGGTGGGAAAACTGCAATGTCGGTGGCGCCGTCTTTGCTGTAGACGCTGTAGTTGAAGATCACGGGCAGTTTCGTGCCCTCCAGGTGACGAGGCCGGTAAATGTTGCCTCGCAGGATTGTGCCGTCTCTAACTGGGATGGCAACATCCATATCGGAGACGATGTGACCATCTGTGACGGTACGAGGTTTGGCATCCTTGACGCCCATTACCTGCGGGTCCCAGGCTGTAGGCGATATCAGCAAGTACTTCAAAAAACCTCGTTTTGTATCGTTCCGCGAAATTCTGGCACAGTAAATGAAATCCTACCTTTGATGAACTTTCCCAGTCTATGGGTCTTTGCGAGTTCGGCCTTGAGAAGTTCAACATCAGCCATGTCTTTTAGGTCTTGATTAGTTATCGATCAGTGATAGAAAATTGTAGTTGTTCGAGAGTGGGAAGGGTCCATGAGATTGTGGGATGAATGTCCGTAGGATCAATGACAACTTGTATTCAGTACCTAATACACCTCAATTGTAGCTCATATAGTCTCGCTCTTGCCCTCTGACTTCAATACTATCACCGAAGTTTCCGACTCCAATGACAAATGCGATCTTAGACAACCCCAGAACAAAGTGAACATTGCGGGGATCGGAAATCGTGGGGTAGCGGGGCCGACGCCGGTTGGTGGGGCCGATGATAGTTTGCATCTCGGCAGCAGCGCTCGGCTCCGGGCTGTGATGCGCGGGGAATATGGGGCATTGTGATGCTTAACTTGCGGTAGTACATATCAGGTTCGGGGGCAGTTTACTCTATGTTTCAAATAATCACACAGAGACAGCTTCCTGAACTCGTAGGGTCGTCTGTCATCTTTCACTGTTATACTCCTGTCATTGGGAGCTGAGACTTTGTAGGGGCATTATGTAATAATATTATCTGTGGCTAATGATAGAGTAGAACCCCCTATGAGCTCGTAACGTGCGTTCATGCCGTAGACCACAGATCCCTCTCCCAGAGTTCCTTAGTGGTTGCACTGGCTAGCGGGCTTCTGGCCCTTAACACCCTGAATGCAGTTGTCGGTGACATCAAGAACGTGGTTCTTCAGCAGCGCAGTGCAGGCCGGTCCCAGAGTTCCGCTGAAGTTGTTGCTGGTGAGGTTCAAGACTCCCAGAGTGTCGAGCTTGCACAGTCCCTCGGGAACCGATCCGGACAACTTGTTATCGCTAGCGTCAAAGACGGTAAGGTTCTTGATGTTGTAGTCTTTAGGAAGCGATCCGGACAAGTCGTTGCCCAGCAGGAGAATCTCCTGAACGTTCTTCATGTTTCCAATGCTCTTGGGAATGGATCCGTTGAGCTTGTTGTTGGCCAACGTCAAATAGATGACAGGGGAAGAGCCAACGTTGCTAGGAATGCTGCCCGAGAACTTGTTGTCGTTCAAGAAAAGGACATCGAGGTCGAGGTTGAAAGCCTCCTTCGGGATGGGACCGGAGAACTCGTTGAAACGCAGATCGAGGAAAGTCAAGTTGAGGTCGAAGACACCAGTTGGGAAAGGTCCGGAAAGCTTGTTGTTGCTGACGTCAATTTCCCACAGCCACTTGAGAGCCGAAAGGTCCTTGGGAAGCGATCCCGTGAAGCCGTTGCTGTTGGCGTGGAAGAAGGTGAGGTCGGTCAGCTTGTCGAGGAAGCCATCGAGGACCAGGCCCTTGCCCTCAAGTCCGAATCCATTGAGATCGATCCCTGACAGGGCGTTGTTTCCGGTGTTGGGGTTCTTGGCACAGCTGAAGCCGTCGAAGTTGCAGACGTTGTTTCCGGTCCAGTTCTTGGTGACTCCTGACGGGTCGACGGTTATCTTGTGCTTGAAAGATTGAACGAGAGAAAGATCTCTCCCCAGGTTTGAGCCACTGGAGGCGGCGGGCGCACCGAGCGCAACGGAGAAAAGGAGCGACGAGAAAAAGAGCGAAAGAGGAGCCATTGTGGAAAAAGAGTGTATGTCGAGACGATCAAGCAAGTGAAGTCACGACATTTCCCGCCGTGGGTAACATGGGAGCGCCCAAGGATTTATGTGTTTGCCAACCGGCCAGCCCGCATTCAGTCCGCCTACCTAATTTCTGCTGAGTTTCGACAAGTCACCGGCTTACGGCGCCTTTGAGTTTTCGTATTTAAGTGTATCACGACTCGGTTTTATTTCGCCCCCACAAATGTGCTGATGAACTGAGCTGCAGTTGTTTATTAACCTTCGTACTAGGGCGTCCGTGGGGCGAACAAGATGAACACACAATCAAACTGATAATTCCGCTTGGAACTCTCTAAAAGCAAAGCTCTCTTCTTCTACAAATTGTCTCGGCGAAGCGGGAATTGCTTTCTTCTCAATTAGCTTCACCGATACACCTTCAAGCACCTCTTCGAGGACTGTGCACTAAGTCAGACGGCGGTATTGCAGCCTCCACAACGGATCTATCACCCAGTAGCACAAAGACTATAGCGTATTACAGGCCACATTCGAAGGCTACAGTTACTTTATATACAGCGAATCCACTGCGATGGCTTTCAATCGCAGCCAGCAGCACTGAGGCGTTTGTGCGAGGACTACAAGACTGTGTCCATACGGCCAGCGATTTAAAGCTAGAAGTGTGCGTCAACCCAGGATTTGATAAGTAAATCTTCAAGGCCCGGAAAGTTAACAAGAACAAAAATCGCGTCAATATGACAGGTCAACTGACATTAACATCATGATCATTCAACTTCGCCGATGCCAGACCGGCCTATTCTATATGCAGTCTATAACACCGGCCTTAAATGCAATGTGCCATAGTACTACGAACCATGAGTTCCGCCCAGCAGAATCTACTTCGTCTTCCGGCTTTTACATGTCAACGTGACGGCAACTGCTCACGGCGATAGCACTGGAAGTATCCTGTTCCCGCCCGTATATGACGCCAGCGTCTTTGTCCCGATGGACAGCTTACCGGCACAAGTTCCTGCTTATGATCGTCGAGATCGCGCTTAGCGTCCGAAACATTGTGACACGGCGCTTCACTGTTGTACAATCGAACTCAAAATGGAATGGTGGTATCGTCGGCCATTATACGGTTCAGGAATCAGATTGAACGAATCTTATTTGACCCTCGTCCCTGATCGGACTATTTATTATGGTATCCCACGCTTAGCATTACTAGATCTCCCAAAAACTTTGTTACAAATAAGTTGTGTGTGAAGAAGAGAAGTGAAAGAAAAAACCGATGTGTAGCCGTCACTGCTTACATTGTACCATTGACGGGACCGCTTCGGGCCTTCGCAGCGTCAAAGAGAGCCTTGATGTCGACCTGCCATTGCGCGAGATCGGGTCGGAGAACGCGGCGATCGTAGGTGACGAGACCGTTGACTTCGCCCTCCACATCGGTCGTCTGTGTCCAGACACCGCCGCTGCAGGCGTACATCTCGACCTGCTCGCGGAACTCTCTCAGCAGGACGCGCCCGCGGTAGTTGTACGCTTCAAGGTTTTCGTTGATTTCGTAAGTGGCATTGATCGAGTCGATTGCCTGCTGAACGTTCCAGAGACTATGTGGTGTTAGTTTCGCCTGATCGAAATCGAGCTTCATACCAGACTTACTGCTCAATCGAGACGTTATGTCCGATGCCACCAAACTCGCCCTGGAATCCGATGCGCCTGTTATCGTAGGGAGGCGACGCGAGAGAGTAGAACGGTGTACCGCATTGAGGGTTAGCGTAGTGGTGGTTATCAGCGTAGTCACCAGATCCATGGTCAAACCAGCCGCTGTTCGCGTTGATGAGCCTCGTGGGGTCAATCCCGCGAACGACGTCAACCAGTTTGGCTTCCGGGTAGGGTGGTGTTCTAAGTTGACCCCAACCTTCGTTGTAGATGGTCCAAGTGACAATGCTTGTGTAGCTCTTGTGCTCCTCGATCATGAGCTGAAGCTGACGCTCAAACTCGGCTTGTTGGTCGGCGTTGGGGAGACGAGCCGAGTTGGCTGTCAGACTTGGCATATCCTGGATGACAAGCAGACCGAGGGTGTCACAGGCGTGGTAGAACAGATCCGGCTCCACCTTGATCTACGGATTGTTAGTTTCTGACCGTCAATAGAAGCTGCATAGGACAAATTTTAGACGTACGTGCTTGCGAACCATGTTCATTCCAATGTTCTTGAGAACCTTCAGGTCATACGTCATTGCCTCTACACTTGGTGGAGTGTGAAGTCCATCAGGCCAGTAGCCCTGGTCGAGGGTTCCAAACATGAAGATGAACTCTCCGTTCAGCAGTGGGCGGTTGATGCCGTCCACGATACCATGTGAGATGGTGCGGAAGCCAGTGTAGCTGAAGACCTCATCGCTACCCATCTTCAAGGTGATGTTGTACAGATTGGGGTTTGTCGGAGACCAAGCATTCGGGGATGGCACGGTGAAGTTGAATGCTGTTCCAGAGTTGCCGGTGCCTGTTCCTACCGTGTTACCGTCTGTGTCGAGAATCGCAATGGAAACCTCCGATGAGGTGTTGGAGGAGCTGTGAACAAGCGCATTCACTGTGGGAGGTTAGCAATGACATCCACTCATTCATACCATGAAGCTCTCTGCCTCTTACCATTTCCGTTGTGGTCAGCCGAGAGATCCAGCTTGGTGATGTAGGTCGACGGCGTGCTTTCCAGCCAAACCGTCTGCCAGATACCAGAGCATGACCGGTAGAAGATGTGCGAAGGAGTCCTCGTCTGCTTGCCAATTGGGATGACGTACCCATCCGCGTCGGTGGGATCAAAGACAAACACCAGCCTAGAAGCCCCAGAGTTAGTTTGGAAAGGGACTGAATCAAAAGATGAAATGAAGCACTCACAAAGTGTTGTCTCCTCCAGCATTGAGGTAAGGTGTCGCATCAACCGTGTAGCGGAAGTATCCTCCACGGTGGAAACCAACCTTTTGTCCATTGATGAACACGGTCGCCTCGTAGTCGACAGCTTCAAAGTTGAGGATCACCGATTGGTTTCCCCAGCCGCTGGGCACCTGGAACGTTGTCGCCAGCCAAAAGTGAGTGACGCCGAGCTCCTGAATTCCGGACAGTCCGCTCTCAATGCACGAGGGAATGAGGATCTCGCGATCAAGCACGGCGCTGGTGGGCGGGTGGTTGACGTCGTCGTCACTGCTGGCGGCCCTGTAGGTCCATAGGCCGTTCAGATTGAGCCAATTCTCTCTTCGAAGCTGCGGGCGCGGGTGTTCCGGCCATGGCTTCGTTCCGACCTTGGCTGTCCAGTCTGTGTCGAGAGGCGGGGTCTGTAGCTGGTATGGTTCCGCGGTCCCAGCCGTTGGCGCTGAGCCTCCGGCAGTCGTCGTCGCGTTTTGCGCGTTGGCGGCGACGGCGAATGACAGCACCGCCGCTGCGGATGAAAGAAATGAGCGCGTGAAACGCATCATGGAAGAAAGACTGGAGTCGCGCGCCGAGGAGGAGTGAGAAAACTGCCTAGTCCTACCTTGAAGGGGGGAAAGGGCTAGTCGACTGGAAGCTATCGACGAAGCTTCGAAGAAGATGCAAAGAACGAAGGATAAGACGCGAACAAGAGGGGTCAAAGCATTCAGGGGGGACTACTCCTGTTATACTTCTATCCTGCCTGGGAAAGAAAGATTTAAACTTTCTTCGCTCTTGGGACGAGCGTTGACATTCAACTGACTTATAAGCTTCGTATTAAGACCTGCGGCGGCGCACAGCTTGTCAAGCAAGGCAAAGCACGCACATCAGATTCTCCACCACTCCCGGACATCTCGGCATTGAGTCAAGTGGTCTGGTTTTGGACCTGACTTGGCGGCGGGAAGGAGGAACTACCGCAAGCTTTTCGAAAGTTCCTTGCAGCCTGCGCTTCGGGGTTGGGCACTTCGCGGTGACGTGCCATTCGAAAAGGAGACAATGCAATGTTGCGCGCCGATGAGCTAGACGACCTAGCTCCCCCGCACTGGAGAAATCGGCGTTCGCGACAGAATGTTTAGTTTCCCATGTCTTGGCCTGCTTGGCCATGAGGGGAAGAACATGCGGGATTCGCCCTAGTGCTACTACGTCGCGTTGGTTGGTTGGATCGTCCGATGGCATGTGAGTAAGAGTAACAGGAGCTGTTCGAAAATAAGCCCAAAAAATCTTCTAGTCTTTGCACGATGTGAGCTGTGTGGTTGTGTCCATTGGGCAGCACGTGGAGTCGTTCGATGGGTGGCACAAAATAGCTGCATGATGCGGTCATCTGGAGAGGGGGAAATGGCTGGCCACAAGACCTCTCAACGGTCGATCTTGTCTGTTCTCGAATGTCCAGCAGAAAGGGCCGTAAGCTTCCCCTAGTTTTAGGCTGGCATCTGTGGCCGACGACGTTGAAAAAAAGAGGATGCGGAAAAGGAGAAGCGGTGCGGATATTGTGTGACCATGGAAAGTTTGTAAACCCTGACCGGGCATTGCGCTTCTCCCACCTTAACCCAGAAGATCCCATGCTGATGAGGCGCAGCTGCTAGATGAGAAGAAATCTGGAGCATCATGCTAGCTTAGATCTTGGGACGAAGGAGTGATCGACAGGTCCTTTCGACTAGAAGAAACGCCAAAAGTCGTCCGGTTTTTGTCATGGCGAACTGTCACCGCTTGCCAGATCACAGGCGGTCAAAAGACCTTGTCCCCCTTCTCCTCATCTATCCATCTCGAACTGCTACCCTAAGTCATCGGACATCTGCACCTCAACAGGCACGACACCAGCCAAGATTCTTGTCTTTCCTCCACTTTCTCGCTGATGCGGGGAGCGGTAGATTCAGTGGGCATATCCGACTGGCTCTCCTTTCTCTCCTCGTCGCGGGAGGGGCTGAACCTTGTTTAATCCCCGGACCGTGCATGCGGGGATGGCTGCTCGAGATCGACGGCAAATGTCTTATTTTCCCACTTTCCCTCTATCGGTCTGGGCCCAGATGGCTTGGGACCTACCTCGACAGGAGAAACCATCCAGG